AATTAATATTGTTAATTTGTGCTGTTTATTATACTCCCAATTGATGAATTTACTTAAATAATAATTTGAGTGTCACGTGACCCATATTTTGTTCAGTTAATTGGTCTGGTGGGTGGTTGTTGCGATTTATACGTAGCGCCATCCAAAAATGTTATTGTGCGTTCGCTTCGAGTGTAACGACCTAACCGTTCGATACAATGATACTGTAGCCCAAAAAAATAAAAAACGCACCAGAGTGGTTTTACGACATTCCATTAATATCACAGCATAGAATACGACGATATATCTACGTACAATGTTTCCCTGTTTTTGGAATTTCTGGTCATGGTGAGTATAGTCAACGCTATTTTGTGTGTCATATCGCAAATTACCATTTAATTCGTGTGTGTATTGTGTGTCCGTGTAAACTGTATGCTATGTAACACAACTGATTACTTTTGAAGTATGTATAAAAATAATACATTGAATAAGTAGGTAACCGTTTTATGCGTGTGTATATGTCAAACACGCATGAATGAGTGCCAAGGTGTCGTAAAATACGTAAAATGTAAATGAGAACCTACCGCTATGCGTCTAATCAATACAATGGTAGACAACTAGTTGATGGTTATTATTTATACTATATCTATGCAATAAGTATTGACTGCTAAACAGTCTATAATAATAAATATAATAGTATAAACATGCTATTTATAAAATACATATTATACCCATCAATTAAATTTCCTACATTTGTCCCTAAATTTTACTTTTTAATATCTTGATTAGGTAAAATATGATTAGAGTAAACTATAGATAAATTAATTGTCATAAACAAAGAAATATGAATTGTATTGAAATATTTTTGAAACATTCAATGTTTTTACTGAGTTATTTGGCATAGTAATATGTATGGGATTAAGTGTATACACTGTATACCTAATAAATTATATTTATCTTTTCATTAAAAATTTTAATAAATTACAGTAGGAAATAAGCTAAATATCTAATAAGTAATAATAATTAAATAAGATAACGATACAAAAGTTTTAGTAATGGTTTTATATTTTCACTTGTAACATAACAGAATTAAAATTACTAAATAAGTAAAATCTTGTGGATAAATCTGAAATTCAAATTATTGCAAATTAAAAAAATTAGCTATATTCCAGCCCACTAAACATTTATAACTTTTTAAAAGAAGCAATAAATTTATGAAACAATTTATTTAATTAATTAACTTTTTATTTTTATAAGTAATATACAATCTGTATCATTATACATAACAATACATGCTAAGAGTACATTGACAGGAACATTATTGTGATGGAAGGAGCCACCCACTTTTTATGGTTATTTGATTATTATATTTAGGTAACTATTATTATTTTAATATGTTGTTATTTTTTTTTATAACAAATCACGACACCACTTGCGCTTTAAGCGTCTTGACTTCTTGAGGGATAACCAGGAATAGTGGCACAGGCAAAATTTTTGATAAGTCGATTCGAACGAGTACTTAGGTGGTTGTGTAATCTTTTATAGAAACATTATTTCAAAACTAAAATTTAAAATGTCAAAAACTAAACTGAAAACCAAATTTTTTGGTGTATTTTCTAACCTACCGATTACCTATTAAATGTATACAATGTGGTCTACCGTAGTATTTAATAAAATCAATTATGGTATGTTGTCTGAAACAAAAAAAAATTGTATTTAATTCAGTGATTTGACATGAAATAATTATTATTATCAAAACAAAATAAAAATATATTGATTTTATAGATTAAAAAAACAAACATTTATATGATGATTAAGAACTATGAAATTTTTACATTAATATTTTTAACTTTAAATTCTTTTAAAAATATTTTGAAAAGTTGATTATAAAATGCTTTAATACTAGAATTAAAAAATATATTTCCTTTGAAATACACTTAGCGTTCATATTTAATATAATTTTGAAAAAGCTATGAGACATCACCTCACATTTAATTCTTTTTTCTTTGTTTGAAATAATGTGTTTTTGCTCTAAAATCCCTTACTAGTTACTGTTAGATATTTGAGATATATATATTTTACGAATATAGATATAGATAATATATCTTATAAAAATACTGCGTTAAAATTACTTAGGCTAAAATATACTATATAGGTGGTAGGTAGATATGAAGCGGGTTAGATGGGATAAGTGCTGAGTCAGATATAAATATAATATTATCTCCGTTATCAACATAATAAAATCGATATCTAGCAGTGCATTATTATTGTTGATTTATTATCTTATTAATATATTTATTTTGAATTCAGTTAGTCGACAGGAATCGCTGATTTAAATTTTATGGAATTTGCAAGTACGGGCATTTCATTTTTAAATACCAATTAACACAAAATGTGTGTAGTAAACATTATAATTGTATTGATTTAACTTATGCATAGTAATTATTCCAAATATTGTGTTTTTTGAAAAAAGAACATAATTTTAATAATTGTTATATTGTTATGTAATAGTTATATTTATATTAGAATGTTGAAGGAAATTACTCTACTGGTATTATACTTTTAAAGTTTATAAATAATGAATAGGTATTTTAGTATTCTACTATACATCGTTGAAGTAAAAATATGTGCAAATTATCGTCATGTTGGGGTAAAAATGTCCCTTGTTAACAGGAGGGTTGCTATAATGGGGCTTTTTGTGTACACCCTTGTTTATTGTACGATGAAGCCTAATATTTTTAGAATTCTGGTCTCGGACGACTCGAATATTATCGTACGATACATACGATGAACATCTGTTTGAAATATAATACAATTGGAAACCCCTGAGTTTTAATTTATTTCTGTTCGTTATAAACATTATGAACGTATCATTTATGTTTTCTACAATTACACTCAGAAAAAATTTATTAAATTATTAAAAATCAAGTATTGGTACTTTTCTTATTAATAGATCAATTATTACCGAAATAATTTATCTATGATTATTATTAATTATTGTATTATGGAATTGTGTGTACTAGCTGTTATATGTATTGTGTATTACAACGAATTGTATTTTTGTATTATAATATAGTATACCTAGTCCAATACGTATACACTAGCACTATACAGTATATACCAGGGGTGGCCAACTTGCGGCTTGTGTCATAGTCGTATGCGGTTCACGTTTTATCATAATAAAAGCAATATTTACTAATTAACGATAAAATTATAAAATGTATTTTGAAAATTTTGACTCGTAAACATATTAATGTTAGCCACCCTTGGTATACATAATAGGTGCATACACATATTACATGTAAGAGGGCTTCTGATTCTATACGATAGAAATAAAAACGTAAAACTTAGTAAAACCAGATTATATAGGTGCTGTAAGAATTTAGTTTGATAAATTAGCATTTTATTATAATTGTTGAGCAAGATTTAAAATAAAAAGCTAAAAAAAAAATTAACATTTTGAAAACTAATTTAAATTTTCTGATAATTACTAAAGCATAACCGAAGCAATATTTGCTATTACAAAAATTATGGGCTTACTTGATACATAACAATTTTTTTGTTAAAATGCCAATATTTCACTGGAAAATTTGAATATAAAGCTAGAAAAGAGTCAAAAAATCGCGGTAGGTGAGTCGATTCCCTATTGTTGTTTAATCTCATTACCTGCAGATACCAACTTATTAAAACAATGTGATAGACATTTTTACCAAATTACTAAATTATTTAATAAATAATAAATATAATATAATACAAAAAATAATTAATAAATAAAAATTGAATGATTTTCAGAATATGAAAAAACTAAAAACAACATTTTTGAGAAACTTGTCAACCAACCTCCTCTTGGTGTTTCTTGAGTTTTTCTAATAGGCTAAATATTTTACTAAACATTGAAAAAAATATATAATGACCCGGGGAATGAACTCAAGGGTGTCGGTGCAGGTAAACAGGTACCGGGGAATCAAGCTCAAAAAATAATTTAAAAATTTTATCATGTATGAAAAATACTAATATAAATATTTGGTGAAAATGTTAAGCTCCATGGTTATTCATTTTTGAATTACAACAAAATATTATCAAAAGATAGAAATTTGTTAATTTACCAATAGTGAATGAAAATGCAATATCGTAAAATTTTTAAATTCAAACGCTTGCAAAAAATGAATGTTAAATTCTGACGAATTTTTCTTTTGTTAAACGGGAATCTTCTATTAAAATTTCTTTTATAAGGCATAAAAAGAAAAATGTTTATGAATTTCTAACTGAAAAATACCGAAAAATATTTTTCAAATTTTCGAGATTTTGATTGCATTTATCAAAATTTGAACTTAAAATGTATATAAAAAATAATCATGTCTGTATTTTTAGTATTTTTGTATATTATAAGTATTAAATTTTGACTTTCTGAAAGCATCAACTTAATTTATTTTTCTATCAGAATTGATACTGATGTAGAAAATCTGAACATTGTTACTACCACAATTCATGGTAATGACAAAAATAAAAATAAAACAAATCATTGCAAATACAATATAATACGCTCAGGAAATAAAAATATACTCAATTTGGTATTTTGCTATTTACCTATTCACAGTTCACACCAAAAAAATTGATTTGCAAAATGTTGGTCCATTATTCTGCTTGTCTAAATTTAAATACTTATAACTCATTAACTTCTATTCCTAAATTTGATTTTTATGTATTGAAATACACAGAATAATATTCCTCTTTCAAAATTTAATTTTAAACAGTAGGTAGGTATGTTGTTAAAACTTAAAAAATTACCTGTAAGGATAAAACATTTTAAAATTGTTGTTTTGTAATAATTTTAAACTATGCAAAAAAAATATTTCTAAAAACATAAATATGTTTTAATGATGAGTGGTTTATAGTAAAAGAATAAAAGTAATTAAGATGTTTTGTTATTATAAACTATTAATTTTGTCCATTGATTTATTTAATTGTTTTTAATTAAATAATTTATTTTTTAATTTAACTAAATATTTGAAAAATTATAGGGTAGAACCAGCTACAACGTCAGCAAGTTCCACAGTTGTAACAATGGCCACATTAAAAAAGGTAAGTAAATAAACAAATTTAATGAAATAATTCTTGTTAAATATCAAGATTCTTTTAGTGTATGTAATTAATTAAATTTATTTTTAGTTATAGTAAAGTAACCAAATTATTAATTATTAATATATATATACATACATATATAATGTTGGCTCCCAAAGAGAACAAATGTAATTGTTTTAATCAATAGATTCTACAAGTAGAAAATAAGAAATTACATAATAATAAATACCTAAAAAAGATTATATTCTTCCTAGGAAAGATGACCTTGTACCTTCAGAAAACATGACCACCTGTTATGATAGGTATTAAAAAACCATCATGACATGTACACTCTTTTCTCTTGTCAAAAGAAAGAAAAAATCCTAAGATATTGTAATGATTCACTGAACCGTGATTTGTATATTAGTGGTAGGAAGGAGACTAGCTATGATTGTAATATCTTTCATGCTATGATTTATTTCTGACAAGATTTACATTTTATGTTTGATTATACTTTCAATCAACAAAGAAAAATAGTACCTTTTTTAAAATACATTGGTATTTATTGTGTGTGTTACTTTTGATTCCCAATAGTAGATAAAAAATTACTATTTGTGGCACAATTAGGGCTTAAATTTTGGAAAGGGCTGTAGCCTCCTGATATTACGTAAAAAGTAACTCATGAAGGCAACTACCCCAAATCCCCATATATTCATTTGAAAATATAAAAAAAATAAACAAAAATAAGACAAATATTTATTCACTCATTTTCATTTTTTTTGTCAGTAATTTTATTAATATCTGTTCATTTGAGTCTCATTTCCTTTTTCAATATGAAGTAACGATATGTTACTAAACTGACACTGGTTCATTGTGGACCGTAAATATGTGTTTATCCTTGTTTATCATATACAATATGAAATGATTTTAAACTTAAAATAAAAAATAAATTGTTACAGTTAAATTATAAAAGGTTTATTAATAATTTTTTTTTTTGAGGGAGGCTAAACCACTCCAACCACCCTAGTTATGTGCTCTGTTGGGATATGTGTAACATGTGTAATATTATTTTCAATTTTCATTTTAAATAATGTACTTAAATAATAAATAAATAAAATATGTTTAATTATTCTGTATGTACTAATTTAATATAAATAAAGCAAAAACTGATAAAAATTTATTAAATTACCAAATTGGGGTTTTTGACTTGAATATCATAAACATACTTTAAAATTGTATGAATTAATTTAGGGGATTCCTAAACTTATTTAATATAACTTAATATAAAAATAAATAAAAAATATTCTGAACAATTTGTTTGTTGAATACTACCTCAATTTGATTTACTTATAATTAAGTTCCAGGCTTATTTTCTCTTAAAACAGTTATAAGTAGGGCTCAGTGGCTCAGAAGTTGATGACCTTAAAAACAATAAAAAATGCCCTAAAAAAATATGTAAATATGACATAAAAATGGCAAAAAATGACCTAAAAAATTACAAAAATTAGTTTTATATTAATAAAAATACACTTTTTTTTTAAATATTTTACTCTATTTTACTATAAAATTCAAAATATGACATAAAAATGACAAAAATTTCCTTAAAATAAAAATATAAAAATATAAAAAATATTTTTTTTATAAATTTATCAAAGCTTACAAATTATTTAAAAATTAAAATCATTGCATTGTACAATTAGAGCGTATTTTATGTTATCGAAAGTAAATGAACAACGATTATCTGTTAATAAATATTTATGATTGGAAAAAAAATTCTCTCTACGTCCACTTAAGTGATTGAGGCAAATCTGAAATGTACCTAATCATCAGCACTGAAATCATCCGGAAAACACTCACTTGAAGCTTCTTCACCATTTAAAATTTTTGAAATTGTTGACAACGACAAATGTAATCGTCGAGATGAAATTAAATAGGTACTTATCTTAGCCAGTGGTAATTTCCAAGTTTTAAGTTATCGGCATAATGGTCGACTAGAAACGATAAGAAAGGAACTAGTGTGAAATCAGTAAAAATGACTAAAGATTTAGGAAAATTACCTAAAAATGTCAAAAAATGACTAAAAAGTAATAAACATAAAAAAATGCAAAAAAGAGCAAAATAAAAATTAGTTATTCAGATTCACTGATTCACATGCTTATGAAACAGATTTGTAGCCAGTAGAGCATCGTCTAATAAGTTCCAAAAAAAAATGCAAAATGCATCAACTTCCGAGCCCTAGTTATAAGTTATAACATATGATACAATTTAGCATATTCAGTACAAAACCCTACATCTATTATCAGAAAAAAAACTTTGCAAAAATAATCGATAAACCTCTTCATAATATACTTAAATACCTTCAAACAAAAATATAATTATCACTTAGGTTTAGACGTTTAGTAACTAAACAAATATGTAATTAATTAATTCGCTTTAAACACAAGGGCCTATGTTGCCGAGGGTATATGTACAATTAAAAAAAAATATATATATGCTTAAATATGTATTATTTTTGCTATTTTTTTTTACAATAGTAAAGTATGCATTTACATATGGTAACAGTTAAAAAATTTTGTGTTGAACTTTTTATCTTTTGTTTTAAGATGTATTTGAAATTAGTGGATTTTTGTATTTTATTAATTTTAATCACTTAAAAATATGCAGATTATAAATTTGAATAAATAACCTAATTTATGAAAACTAAAGGTTAAACTATGTAGTCTCATGAAGTCATAACCAAAGTATTCACATGTAAATCCCAACACAAATTTTTGTTGAAAATTAAACCTAGATATCTGACACTCAACTCTTGATAAACTGTAACACTGAGCATTGTTACATGATTACATGAACAAAAAATTGTTGTATATTTAAATTTGTGATGAATTTCTACAAATACTTATGATATAAAATAAAAATGTGAAGCTCAAGCATTTTAATAATAATTTTGATAATTTTTAGAACTCTGTTGTGGTCACTCAACCTATGAGGAGAGCTATGATTGGATCTAGCCCTTTAAAATCGCCTTTTATCAAAAGACCCCCATCTGCTTCTGTTACATTACAAGGCTGGCTTTACAAGCAAGGAAGTGAAGGTTTAATGTTATGGAAGAAACGATGGTTTGTTCTATCTGAATACTGTCTTTTTTATTATAAAAGTAAGTTCTTTTAAAACAAATTAATTAAAAATTTAAATTTACGATTTCGTTTAATTTGGTTGTTGATCTAGATGAAGAGGAAGAAAAACTTTTAGGTTCAATATTGTTACCATCATATAAAATATCCCCGTGTTGTCCTTCAGAAGATAAAGTTTACAGAAAATTTAGTTTTAAAGCTGAGCATGATAACATGAGAACATATTATTTTGCTTCAGATACCAGAGAGCTTATGGTTCAGTGGATGAATGCTTTAAGCTTAGCATCAATTCTGCAACAAAACTATGAGTAATTATTTATATTTAATAAATAAAAAGACATTTTTTTATGGGATTGATTTTAAAATAATGTTTTTAATAGCAGGTACAATGAACGAAACAATACAAAACGATCCCAATATATTAATAAGTTAGATGATATGGATTCAGGTTTCGTAAGTTCATCTTTCTATTCAACACCACGGTCATATTACAATAATGATATAACTTACAAAGCTCAAAACAGTCAAATTGCTCAACCACTTTATGCCAATGCGCCCCCAAAGCCTAGACGTGTAACTGAACCACAAGAAGATCATCCTCAAATAGCTCAACCTCAGTATAAGCCATTATCACTAGTCCAAAATTTAAATAGGTCGCAATTAAATAACTCTGAACGTCGAACACCTGATACATATGGACGTCATGATGTCAAATATTTTAATCATAGCGAGTATGAAGAAGTTATTGATGAATATGTACCAAGTCCTATTAAATATAGAGAAAAAAAATATTCTTACAGACCCCATAGTGCTGATTTTTTAGAATATGATGTAAGACGTGCTTATCAGACACCAACCCCAAGCACAAATTCTTCATATAAATCTCCCGAATATTACAATACAGTGAAACATGTTAAAAGACCTAAATCTAGTTTAGATTTTGTAGATAATTCAGATAGTTATTGGTCAGAAAATGCATATGCAGAAAAAATGAGACAAGCTTCTCAGAGTTTGAGTAAAGAGACAAACTTGAATCGCACAACTGCTTTATCATTGAGACAACTTGGAATTTATCTAAATGATATAAAAGCTGAGCCAGTAGATGCTTCTTCCGCACAAATGAAAAGTCATCGAAACTACATTAAAGAACAAGAAAAAAGATGGAGTGAATATGTTAATTCTTTCAATAGATCAGCTAGCGCTAGAGTTGCTAGGAATGCTGATAAGCGTAATTACGAACAGAATGACCATAAAAGAAGTACTAGTTTACAAAGAAGAAATAGTATTGACTCTAGAGATAAAGAACGGAAATCACAACAGGTTCGTTAAATAAATTCTTTAAAAATGCTTTAAAAAAAATTAAAGTATACTATATATAAATTTATTTTTAGAGAGAAGAATCTATGAAACGTCTTTTAGATTGGAAACAGCGAATGCTTCAATCTACTTTGACTCGCAAGTCTTCCGGATCTTCTAATCGTGGTTCAGCTCAAAATGAGTTATCCAAATATTACAAAAAAATAACTGATAATCGACTTAAAAATGAAGAAAAAACTGTTGTTAATTGTACTAATAATTTCTACAATAGCAAGTATAACAACGACAGTTTTAGTTATTCTAAAAATGACTTGACTATTGAAAATGATTTCAACTATTCAGATGATGAAGGTAAGATTAATATTAATTCTATATTACCAGCTTATTTTTAATATAAAATAAATTAAGCAGCTCTAATTACTAAATATGTAGAATGCCTTTATTTGTGGTAAATATATTCTTCTTATTCTGTCAACTAACTTTAAGTAGTACTTAATATTTAACCCAATATTTACAAGTGGATGATGGTCCTTTAAGGATTTTTCCGAAGCTCGCTCTAACTGCATGTGCAAGAGTATTTTACAATGGATTATTTAACAATTTTGGAAAATTATTTATCCTAGAAGTTAAAGCAAGAGAAAGTCAAGTAGATACTCCAGTGTCAGCAGTAAAAAATGTCAATGAAATCACTCCAGACTCAAAATACACCAACACAATTAACTTTTATACAAAACCAGTGGTCAAGCAGCATCTTTCTGACGAGACTGCAAGTTCAACAAATTCCTATTTTAAAGACGATACATTATTAGTTGACAGTAGGCATTCAGACAGTGGATATGATACTTTACAAATGGGTAGTGTTCTTTCATCAAAAGATCCAGATATTGATCGTCTATTGAAGTTTGATTTTGGTAAGAAAACAAATGGAATACAAAATCTAATCAAAAATTTCGAATTCAATGATATGAAAGAACCACTTCAGTCATCTTCATATAGTTCTAATGAAGCACAAATTTCTTCACTGAAAAAAGAAGACATAAGGTATTCAACTGCTCAAAACCCTCAATCTGTTAGAGATTTATTAGCAAATTTTGAAAAGAAAAATGAGCGATGTGTATTTAGTGATACGGAAACACTGCTATACGAAACATCTAGTGATACAGAACCTATTGAACCTAATATACCTAATTCAAAGCGCACTGAAGCACTATCAACTGACGAAGATGATCCAGAAGTTGTAGATGTGTTGAGACAAAAAGCTGATCCTAATGACGAACAGTACTATTTGCCTATGACACCATCTAAAAAGTCAGCATTAGAAGAAGATATTTCTAAATCCAAGTTAGTGATAGTTGATACTGAAGATCAAGAAAATTATGTTGAAATGACACAAAATTCTAGGCCTATACTTGCTCCATCGCCCAAACTAGACAAAAAATCACATTATGAATATATAGCTTATAAAACTAATTCTAATTATGAACCAGTTTATACAGAGGTAAAAAATAAAATTTTACCTGACATTCTCAAATCTTCAACTAATGTTAACAGTTCAATCAAATCAGATAGTTCAGATGCTGATGATGAAGCCTCAAAAGATTTAGATTCACTTGATACTCCTTGTCATCCTAGATTTAGTTTATCTGATACATTTAGACCAGCTTCTTATTATTTAGGAGCTGCAACCAATGAAGATACCCATGATTCTTCAGATAGTGATCTAGTTTCTCCACCACCCATGAACTTTGATAAAGACGATCAACTTAAATCTATTAGAAAAAAAATGGAATCACTGATACAATCTGCTTCTGAATCAGATTCAGATTCTGGTAAAAAGGAAAAACAAACAGCCTTTAATGGGGATTTAGACTCAATTGGAAGTAGAAATGGAATGTATGAAATAGATATAAATTTAGATGATTACCTGGATAAACAGAATATAGAAGAATGTGATAGATTCTATGAAAATTATTGTAAAAGTTTAGAGAGTAGACGATTAGAAAATTCTGAACCAGCACCTGGTGCTCCTTATTATTATTCAGATATTTCAAATGGAAATTTAAGATCACTAACTCCAGAACCGCAAGGTGCTGAAGGGTTTACAATGCGTCGTCGAAGTCATTCACTTGAAGGCGTGCTTGATGATAGTGCTTATTGCAATTTAGAACCTAGAAAATGTACCTCTCCTAAAGAGGCAATATCTCGATTATTGCGTACAGCAGAAATGAAATCACCTAGATCAACTGAATTAGCCATTGTAAATCTACCATTGAGATCAAGGTCCTTAGATAATTTGGATGCCGAACCTGAAAAAAAGACTGGTCGTCAAAGCGCAGATATTTTGAATAGCAAAAGAAATGAAGCAATGTATGTCAATGAAGCTGTATTTGACCGTCATAAAGAATATAAAGATGATTATCGGTCGGTTAAGAAGGGTAGATGCAAGAGTGGATCCCAGTCTTTTTTAGAGGAGGGCCTATATCCGATGACCCGACCACCATCAATGGAGCAACTGGACAGGGAGAAGTTAAGGCAGTGGGACCTCATGTCCACTGTCCCTGCCGTGATGTTGGGTGCAACGCGCGTGTACAGTCGTACTTCCGAGAGACAAGTGATATTGACGCCTGCCGAATCAAACACAAGGCCGCCATCGCTAAGTYGCCGTTCAGACGAAACACCAACAAGCTCGCCAGGTTATTAAATACAAACATTTTTCCTCTTATATAAATTTATAAATAAATTATATATTACACAATATGTAGGATTTACTTTATAAAAGTTATATTATTAGTTAACTATTAATGTGTACATTTTTGAAGTAATGATTATAAGTATCAATATCGATATAATGTATACATAAGGGATTTATAAGCTAAGGTATTAAATAACACTGATTAGTGATGTAATGTATGAAATTGAATGAATTAATAATTTAACTTTATGTTTATCATATTTCATAGTGTCCGGTTGCGGATCAGCGATTGGACAAGGTCCAGTTCATCGAGAATACCAAGAAATCAATAAAATGATTAATGAAACAATGGGCAGTAAAAATATATATTCCAGCAATAGAAATATAAGGGTAAGTTATATTAAATTATGTCCCAAATAATTGATATTAGTTATGCTTAATTTTGTTTTATTGCTATTTTAATTTATTTTATTTTATTTTAATTTCAATTTATTATTTCTTTATATACATTTAAATCATTAGAATAGTCAATGGAACTTGACAGTTTCTGCTGGTGAGCTCCTTGGCCAAACGCATGAAGAACTAGTTTTATTATTGATTCAATTAAGAAGGCAAAGAGTTTCTATTTGTAAAGCAATGGAAATGTGCCACAATGATATAGAAACTCAGGTTTGTTTTAGTTATTCTAACATTTATACGTGCTAAGTTGCTTATGAATGATTTATTTGTATGTAATTTATGTTTTTAGAAATTTCATTAGTATTTTTTTTTTTTTTTACATTTATATTACAAATAGTGCTAATATGTTATGCAATTATGGCCATTACATAAAAATGAAAATAAAAATTTACCTTCATCATAACTTATAAATTTATAAGTAATATTTATAATTATAAATTAATGTTAAATGATTATCAAATTACCAGTATGGGTGCAAAACAAATAAGTAAATTTTTTACAAATAATTAAAAACTTTTATTGTTATTTAAGTGACAGGAAGATAAACTTAATCTATTTCCAAAAGTATAAATTGATTAAAAATAACCTAAATAATTGTATACCTGACTTAACCTAAGTTATATTAAGTTTTCTTTATGTTTTTCCTCTGGTTTTTTGGAAAACCACTGAAATTTTAAATTTTTACCTTCCAAATACACCAACTATATTCAGTTTCTCACAATAATAAATATTGAATTTGAAAATTTAAACATTATTTCAACTACTTATCCTGTACACAGATACAATAAATAATAATAATAATAAAAAGCATCAATGTAAATTAAATACATTCTTCAAAACCTCTGCTCAATAATAAACTAAAATAAAATAAAAAAATTATATTATAGTACTATATATGTAGCACATATATATATATAAATTTTAAATATTGATTAGTCTAAAAGTTATTTCATGTGTCAGACCTTCCTGTTACACTCTTGTATAGTATAAAAAATGATGGAATTTTTGATTTTTATATGATTTGAAGGTTGATCTATAATAAAAGTAATTTACTTCTTAAAATTCAACCATAATTATTTTTGTTTGATATTAATCACTAATTTACTCATTCCCTCTATTCTCTAAATATAATATTGAATCATATTTTTCATTTAATTTAAATTTAAAAAATATATTTGTTCATAATTACGTGTCTTATTATGTTTAATTTTAGCATATTATATCAATTTTAACATTATTGTTATTATTTTAGACGAGATTAACTGAACTGGATACCCCAACAAAAATAGAAAACTTACAAAAATTAGATGAATTGAAAAAACATTTGTTGGAACTTGAAAAACAAGTAATTTATATCAATGGTTTATAATTAAAATGTTTAAAATAATATTTGTATGAAACTATATTGTCTTTATTATGAAATTTCAACAGTATGAAAAAGGAAAACCTCTAATTAATCTGGTTGATAATATGGTAAAATTGGGTTCATTGTATCAAGCTGGATCTGCACTTGAAAATCCAGATGGACTCTCAACACCAACTATATTAAAAGAGCGTTTAGAGTTCAATGATAAAGTACAAGAAAAACGTCTTTTAGCAGAAGAAAATAAAGAATGGCAACGAATAAAACCAAATGTTAACRATCTACAGGAAAAAGTTGATAGACTATATGACTTAGATCAATTAATGCTAGAAGAATCTGGAAATTTATTACATTTGAGGCAAGATAAAGAATTACTAGAAAAAGCTTTAGGTGGCCTTAGGCATAAAATGCAAGGTATACATAGTCCAGCTGAGGAAGAACGTTACAGGAGACAACAACATGTACTAGAACGTGAATTAAGTTCAGTTAGATCTGTATTAGCTAATAATTCAAAGGTAATATTACAATTCTAATATTTTAGTTTTAAGTAACTAATATACTAATTTAATGTTTTCAGAAACTGGAAGAAACAGTGGCGTCAAATGCCAGATTAGAATCAGAATTGGTAGTCTTACGTCAAAAATTGCAGTCATCCAGACGTGTACCAGATACAGGCACGGGAGGTCCAACTGTAGCTGCATTGGAAGTTGAACTCAAAAGAGTGCAACTTCTGGTTGGCGATTTACAACGGCAACGTGAAGATTTAAGTGTTCAAGTTCGACAGCTTACAGAGAAATCAAATACATTATCTATGCAAATGGATAGTGATGAAAATGAAATAAGGGGTAAGAAAAGACCAGCAAATGATTCATGGATTGAAACAGATTTGGATGATTCAATTCAAGAGGATAAAAAATGTAAATAACATCTAAAATTAAATGTTTTAAATGTTAATAATTAATATAATTAAAATTGTTTCAATTTTTTTTAGTTTACACTCCAAGAGAAAAGCCACAAGAAATTAAAACAGTAAGGATTGTCAAACGAGAATCAGAAAGGCGACAGAGAGATAGAGATAAATATGGTGGTAATATTGGTCTTCCATTAACAAGTGTTAGTGTTAAATGTGTACCTGTAATTGAAGAACCTGACTATAGAGTAAGAATACATTATTTTCATTTATAATTATTAAAATTATGAAATTATTTATTAACTGTTTTTACTATTTTCAGGTTGAAGATAATCATGTAAAAAAACTATMAGCACAAGAACAATTATTTGGCACAAGCCAAGAAAATATCGCATATGATATGTATTCAAATTTTAACGTTGGAGATCAATCTATACTTCCAAAAGATGATGCCCCCTTATCACCAGTGTATCAGAGTGAAGCAGCCAGACAAATTGTACAAGAATTATCAAAAAAAGATCAAAATGATAACATTGAGCAAAATGAGTCATTAACAAAAAGACTGGTACCAAGAGAAAAACGCAGACATCACACTGTCACAAGTGTCAGACCATTTTCCATTACAGAACCTTACAATGTAAATATACAAAATATAATAGCTTACTTATTTAAAATTATATTAAATGAAACAATAATACATATTTATTTAAAATTGTAAATTGTTAGAGAGATGGTGGTTGGAGAGCTCGAGATGATGTGGATATGGAGCGAGCTCTTAGGCCCGGTGCTCCAGATGTGGTTCGATCTACCATGAACAAGACTGATCCTACAAAATTTAGTGCAGAAACTATAGATAGTATATTAGGAACTCCTGGAAAAATATGTATACCAGAACGTTATATACCAGAATCGGCCCCTGTGTCACCAGATGAACGTAAAAAGAGAATGCACAAAGCTGAAGCTATTAGAAAAATGTTGTCAGAATCTACTCCTATACTTACTGCTGGTACAACTTACTGTTCTCTTAATGTATAATACATCATGTATACTAAGTGATCAATTGATATTTAGAAGGAGAAAATGATGAATACACAACTGTTAGCAGAAAGAAGATGATTGAAGAAAAAAAGCAAAGAGATCATTTGTTACAATTGAATCAAATATTGGCGCAACAAGTTATGGAGAAAAGTAAATCAGTGGCCTGTAAGTTAAAATAAGGTTTATAAATGCATGAGTTTTTATTTTGTTTTTATTTTTATTTTGTTTTTTTATGTTTTTATCTACCCTGCTTGAGTAGTCACACGTTTTGTTGTAGGTGCAAGCCCCACAAATACTAGAGACTGATTGATAAATAGCATGAAGGTGTGTTTAAATTGTTTAGTTATTGCTGTTTTGAACACTTGAGTAAAAAAAAAAATGAATTCTAATATTTTATTTTTAATAATTTATTTGTAGTGAATGCTATGGCGCAAGTGGGTAAATTAAAACGATGTTCAATTGGTGATGGTGAACGAGAATTATCACCAGAAGAACCTCTTCCATTGTACCAACAAAGAGAAAACTTTTACTCTTAACAAATTAACTAAAAATATTTAGGTTGTGTACCTGAAATGTTTAGGTTGTGTAATGCAAAAAAAATAGACTTTTAAACTGTTAAAAATATTTTTTAAATATTTTAATTTTTGTTGTATAGTTTTATAGAGATTGATGTTTTAATAATGTGAATTACACATACAAAAAAAGTATTATAACTTTATAAGTTAATTTAATTACTATTATTATTTGTAAATAAAAAGTTTAGTTTTATTTAATATTTCCTCAACAATTTAGGAAAAACCGTTCTAGTATTTATTATTTATTTAATTTAAATATTTTTTATTAAAAATATTACTATTACTATATTATATGTATAATTTTTATATATATTATATATATAATATTAAATAAATAAATTGTTACTTCAGCTGTTAGAAAATAATTTATAATCAAAACATGTTCCTTATTAGTTATTCACAAATACTTGTGCCAATATTAAAATGAAAAAAATGAAGTATAAACGTATATTCATCTTTACGTTTCTTATTTTATGTACTGATAGGATAGATTTATTGTATCTTGAATAGACATTTTTATGAATAAATATGATTACATTGTGTATATGTTTAAAAGTCTAATTTTGTATTTATAATTTTAAAAATTAAGTTAAAGATTGTACTTTTCTTTTGAATATCTCATGCACATACACTAATACCTTGATAGTTGATGTTAACTATTGAGTAAGAACTGAACACAATTTATATGTGCATTTACTCATTAACTGACAACTGCCGTTTATTCTTTTATGTATCAAGTACTCGTTATCATTCAGTCTTCTTCTTTTATTGACTAGAAACAGAGAGGTCTGATGATGTGAAATTTCAATCAATTGTTGTAGCCTATGACTAATTTATATACTTATATATATATTGTTCTATGTTCAACCACCAATAGGGGTCAGAAGTTTTATAGCACCAACATTTTGGGAACATAAGTTCACTACCAGAGCTAATGTGCTATTAATTTACAATTAGTTTTTAAACAACTCATTTTTTATGCTTATAGAAGGGCGGTATGAAAATCGTTTTTTGGAAGCTATTATTTTAAAAGTTATAACCCATTCAAATCTGTTGTATGATAAATATTAAATTTTAAATAGTGTTTACATATTAACGTAGAGACTTGTTCAAGTTTATGACCAACAAATAAAATGTGCTTGGATAATGGAGATTGTATGTTTAGTGTTAATGAACTAAATGTTATATCAATAAATGTGCTTTTGACTCTTTCCCATTGTATTGCTTCGTGGGACAATTCACAGATTATATGAAAATATGAAAGTAGCCAAGTAGGTATATATTATCAAATGAATAAATAAAACAGTTCCTATCATAATGTTGAACTTATAATGTATGTGATCAGAGTAATCAATTATTTTGAATAGAGTTCTGACTTTCTAAGTAATAGTTATTATAAAAATTAAAAACTGTATTTTGAGTATGACAATGCAAATATGAAATAGTTTAAAATAGTTTGGGATTATATTATTTAAAAATATTACAACATAAATCTTATATTTTACTTAATTTTTATAATGTTGATAAACTGTTTTTTTTTTAAATTAATATTAAGGTAGTAAAGTATAGTTTTTATCGAAAAATCGTCTGGTGGAGGAAAATGGCTTACACAAAAATATTCAGATTCATTTTACAAACCTAGCTATCAACAAAAAATATTGTTGACAATAAATGGAGAGGTAATATGAACTACAAAATTCTTGTATGTGTATTTGATACATCGTCAAAGCCTAGGCAAGTTAACAGTATTTTTTTAAACTCGTTAAGTTAAGTTAATATAGAAAAATTTAAGTTAAGTTAAAAGTTACAAAGTTACTTTTATTTTTTTAACTTGTAAAAGTTACTTAACTTATTTAAAAACTAGTTACTTTTTTGTCATATAAAATTAATAATTAAACCTATCTTTTTTAAAGCTAACAATAATAACATAGTAATTCAATAAATGTCTTACAATTTTAAATAAATATATTTATTAAAATTAATTACTTTTGGTAATTATATTATATTTTAATCCAAGAAAATCCAAAAAAAAAAATTTTTACTATTTTTATGTACACAATTTTATTTAAGTAATAGTCCAGGACTCCACAACTATATTAAATATTATAATAATACTATAATAGAATATAATTAATTGCAGGTAATAGGTAATAATTAATTAGTTACACAATTTATAATATCAAATATTATTCAATACTAAGAATAAAACATTTGATAGCTTAAATAGCTTGTTCATTTATTTAATTAGGAAAATAGTAAATACCAAGAGTCTATATGAATGGCATGAACTACGCTACGTCGCAACTACGGATTTTCATTATTTGCACCAATGGGCCATGTGATTGCTTTTAAATTTTAATTCCAAGAATGAATAAAATATTATAATTACTTATCAATAAGTAATAATATTAATGATTATGTAGGTAATAGGTAATCAGTAATGACTTATCTGTAATGAGCTAACAAACATGTATGGGATACTGAAAAGTGAAAATAAATAATTATATTTTTCAATTATTTATGACGCAGTTACCCTTATAAAATTTCAGTTTATAATATTGGTGTGTATTATATTCTGTGAGACTGAATATGCAATATACCTAATATTATAATAATACTATAATTATAAATTTATTAATTAATATTATATTTAATATTTTGAATTATTATTTTTTGTTTTTATATGACTAATTTTTATAAAATTGAAAATATTTTTAACTGTTCAGGAATAAAATTAACTTAACGTGCGCATAAAACAAATTAACTCATAAGTTATTGAAGAACAGAATAAAAAATTTACTCGTCAAGTTAGAAGTTTCTCTGAAAAAAAAGTTAACTCGTTATTTAACTTAGTTAAAAGTAACTTAACTTTTTATCTCGTTAATGTCCAGTCTTGTTTATCGTACCGCACTACCGTGGTAGCGTTTGCCAGTGGTACGAAAAAATATTTCTGTATGATATATTTTACTGTTTGGTAATCCATATCGTTACCGGATCAGTTGTGATCACAACAAAGCTTGGATGACACAAGAATAATTAATGTTAGGATGGTTATCGAATTTTTATAGAAAAATGCAAGGCCGAAACCGAAAGGTTATATCTTTTTTCTTGATAATGCGACTATAGTCATCCCCATTTGAATTTACAGAATGTGAAACTCGCATTCTTCCCACCAAACGTAACTTGCCAAACATTTGACCTAGGAGTTATAAACAATTTCAAAATTCTCTACCGCATTAGTCTTTTAAAACACGTAATTTCGTCCATATAGACAACGGAAATATAAAAAACCTTAATGTGACGGTTCTTGAGGCAGTTATGTGGACTACAGCGACTATCAAAAAAATAAACAAGGAAAGAGTCGCTAAATGTTTTATAAAATGGTGCGTTACCGGGGTCAGATAATATTGGTAACTCAACACAAATTGAAGATTTGAATAATGAGTTATCGAAACTAGCTTCGACAATATGTCCAACAAATGCACCGGACTATTATCTTCTACAGATGATTGCCTACAAATCGAAGACTTATCATTGAACATTGAAGACATAATCAATGATGGCATTGAGTGAGAATGAAAAATATGACGTAGAACAAGAAGAAGATAGTATACAGACGGACAGACGTTGTAAACGAAGAAAAAATAACTCTCAAAGAAGCATTGCAGTTAGCGAATAGGCTGAACATATTTTGTCTCAATAAGAGTGATGCGATTTCATTGTCATTAGTAGTTAATCAACTCCAGTCTAATTTCGAGGAAATTGCAATACAAGGAAAAAAACAATCTAAAATTTCAGATTTTTTCTCAATAAGTAATTTTGTACAATATAGTTTGTTACGTCTAAATAATTGTAATAAATTATATAACGATACATCTACAATAAGATATTCTTTTGAAAAGTCAATAAAATTTAAATTTTCAGACAAATACATACATATTATTTTATTAATTTCTCCCAATAGTGGAAAATTATGCCACTCCCGTGAGTGTCCGCTATCCAGAGGTTTTACTAATATAATTATATTACTATATTACCAATACTCTCGATGAGTGTAGTATAGCGGTGTCATTTACTATAGTATTACAGGGAAGTTAATAAATTTAAAATATAAACTTATATAATAGTCTATTATAATTAAATGTGTGAACTACTGCATGTGATTAATATGGAAGAATAATTGAATACATTTAGTAAAATTATGGAATAAGGATTTAATTCAAAATATAAAAAGGGTGGGATGGGTGGTTAACTTTTTTTTAATTGTGTGTGCTATTATTAGTTATTATACCCCTCTGCGCCACTATAAATGACATTTGAGTACTTATTTTTCAATTGATTGAACAAAAATACAACGGAACAGCAATAATATGGTCGCTCGTAGATTCATTGTTGCCGTGCCAACCATATTAAACATTAGGTGAACACAATATCATTTGTACACTGTGTACAAACATTGCAGCCATTATAAAAGTTTTATATTTTCAATGTTATTATCTATTACAACTTCACAATAGCAATACTTAAATAATTACAACCATCGATGGAAAATTATAAAATGTTGGAACGGATCGGGGAAGGTACACACGGACAAGTGGTTCAAGCCATGGAACGGTCTACCGGTAAAATAGTCGCCATTAAGTGCGTACGTTCATCGGACAAGGCTTCAAAGAACTTGCTGCGTGAAATCGAATCACTGAAAGCGCTGGATTCCAATTACGTTTGTTATATATAAATATTAAAAACCAGCCAATGGTCCAGTGGTGCATGTGGAGATTGGTCTAGCGGGGCTTATCATAGTGTCGCTCGATGTACCTAACCCAGACAATTTCACCTTTGTTAGGGCCATCATAATTTTTGAAAAACGTTTAGTTATTTGAGAATTGAATTCTATATTTTTGTCGATGCACACGGCGTTTAATATTATAGAACTATTATATTTATATGATAATTAAGGGAACAAAAATATTATGACATCGATAACTTAAAATATGCGAGGTTCGTAGGTCATGGCTCATGGGTTTCCCTCTCCGTAAAGGCTGTATTCAGTGGTGTATTTACGAGGGATATAGATCCCCCCCTAAGTCTCTTATTTGTAACTTATTTATGATATTGTGATGTCGATGGCAATTTATCTACCCCCTCTCCTTAGGGAAATTAAATGTTATAGAAATTTAATAATTCACGTTAACCCCCCCCCTAAAAAAAAATCGTGCCTGACTAAATCTCCATCTATGTTGCAACATACTTTAGATACCTAAAGCCTAAAGGCAAAAGTAATAAAATAGGCTCCTAAACTATTTGCCATTTTTCAGGTCGTAAAGTTTTTGGATCATTTCTGTCACAGTTTTAGTTTCTACTTGGTACTTGAATTCATGGCATCTGGCTTACCAGAGATGTTGTGCGATGACGACATATGGCTCGACGATTCTCATCTGAAGACATACGCTCATATGCTCTTCGCCGGTGTCGCTCATATGCATGCCACCAAAATCATACACAGGGTAAAACTATCAACTATAGAATAAGTCACGGGAAAAAATAACACAATTTTTCCTCTATTTTTACTTACATACATGTATTCTTTGAAACATGATTAACAATTATTTTTACTAAAATTAGAAATTCCCATTATAAAATATACTTAAAATCGATACAACACTGAAATCTGAATAATATTGAAACGCTGGAAAGAGAAGATGAAGATTAAAAGGTTTTATTATGTAGGTCGCAGGTAATCGTAATAGTTTAGAGTAGGACGAGTAGGTAGAATAATATCTTAACTCGAGAAAGGTTCTAAAGAAATTTTTAACAAAAATATGAACAAATGTCATACATTTTATTAGTTATTTTTAAAACTGTAAAATACTTTCTTTTTTTTAAACTTAAAAAAAAGAATTTCAGTGTCTTGCGTAGGTGTATCGTTTATTAAGTCTTAGATTTTATGGCCAATATACCAAATTATAAAATACAACCATTACATATAGGTATACATTTCTGCTATTAATTATTAATTAAGATACATAATTGTATCAAAAGATTGAATAATCATTATATTATTATTTTAATACGTACCTAGCTTATAGCTACACAATACAATGCATGCATTTTAATATTTAAATAGTTTATATTTATAATTTAGATTGACCAGTTCTCTAAATGCGTTCTACCTTTTTTTTTTTTTACTAAAATCATTAATAGCCAAGTCAAAATGTATCACTGAATCTAGATTTTAATTCTAAATAACTTATGTACAAATTAATATAACAACCACTCTGTAGGATTTTTGTTGATGTTGGATACAAATAACAAGTTTTATAATCTCGTCGTCCGTGTTTATTAGGATCTGAAGCCGGCGAATTTGCTGATAAGTTCCGAGGGCGTATTGAAAATAGCGGATTTCAGCTTGAGCCGTCTGCTCCTGTCCACCTCGACTGCCGATGATGATGTTGATGATCAACGTAGTAGCCAATGTTACACAGGCCAAGTAGCGACGCGCCGATACCGGGCTCCCGAACTCTTGTTTGGCTCTGTTCACTACGACCAATCAATAGATATGTGGTCTGTTGGTTGTATTTTAGCAGAGATGCAAATGAAAACTCCTTTATTCGCGGTTAGACGATTTGTTTGTCTTTCAAACATTACAAACTGCAGGGCTGCAATTGCCACTTACCTTTAAATTGTAATACCTTTTCAGGGGTTATTGTGAATCCAATGCCTTAAAATTCTTAGAGTTACGCATTTTTTTGAAATACATTATATTTATCAACAATGTTGATGAGAACATTTTAATTTTTGACTTGTATATCTCCATAAAAATTTTTCAAATCTCTTAAATTTCAATAGTTGACCTCTATTTGTGAAACATAAAATATTATTAACAGTTATTACAATTTTAGGGAGATTCTGACATGGAACAGATTGCCATCGTTGTACATAATTTAGGGACTCCGACTGATGAAACTTGGCCAAATAGGAATGAAATGCCAGATTACAATAAACTCAAGTTCACACGCTGTAATCCAGTACCAACAAATGAATTGTTGCCTGATTTTGATGAATTGTTAGTCGATCTACTAGGAAAATTAATTTTATACAATGCCGATAAAAGATTGAATGCTCAAGAGGTACTTAATGATAACAATTATTTTTTTCTATAAAATTACTATTTGAAAACAAAATATCTATTTAATTAAACTTATTAAACTGTATGTACCATGGAAAATTAACAGATTAAATACTAATATAATATTTTAAACATTTTTCTAGGCATTACTACATCCATATTTTTTTAATGAACCATTGCCATGCTTAGAACATCTAATGCCAAAACCACCAAAGGATCATAGACAAAAACTTATGCCTAAACCAACTAAAGTAATTGAAAGTTTGGAAAAAAATTTTAGTTGTTTATACCAAATACTTGATGAGGTGATGTAAATTTGTAATTACTAACATAATATTGTTTTGGAACATTAAATTAAAAACTTATGACAATTAACAAAGATACTTTTCATTTATAATATATTCATCTATTAATTTATTAAAACTAAAAAAAAAAACATTGTTTCAGAGTAGTTATTATTTTATTATTCCACATTAGAAAAATATAAATGCAAATTATTTATTAAAGTATAGAAAGAAATTAGAAAACTATAAAATAAAATGGTTAATAACAAATAAACACTTTTGAAAAAAAAAAATGAATATAATATATTTATAATTGATTGAAATCTATAATATTGGCAAAACCATAAACCTAATTGTTATTTAATAATAATAGGACACCATTTATTTGTGAGTGCAAATTTTTCATTTTTTGGATTTAACTTCATTAAAAATAAAAAAATAAAAATAAAAATACCTATAGGTTAATTAACAATTCTAAAATAAATAAATAAAAATAAATAGTCAAMTATAAATATATATAGTATATTTTAATAATTGTAGATTTTCAGCTTGAATTACCAGATTAAATGGGTGTTACATTCCAGATTTTTGTATTGCAGTCTTGTCCAACCGAGACTATAGTTTCATCATCCAACCACAGTACACGTGTAATCTGACTTTGTGGATGAGCATCTAAAAAAATAATAAATATATAAATATATCATCGTATTAAAAAACGTCACAGCTTGACATGAACTAAAAGCTTTAATACTAACTTTTTATTATTGTATGTTTGTTTGGTGAAGTAACGCTCCATACTATGATAGTAGTGTCTAAACTTCCACTAGCTACTTGTTTTGAATTTGGTGACCAGGCCACACTGTTAACACGTGCATTATGGAAGCCCCAATCTTGTTTATGTGCCAGCTAAAGTATAAAAAAAGAAACAAAATTACTGAAAGTCAATAAAAATTAATATTATTATATATTCCTTACCGACTTTCCAATGTAAACAAAAATAACAAAATAAATAGTATAATGATTGTTTCAGATTTGAAGTATTCACTTTACTTACATTGAATTCGGGTACTTTATATAAAATGACTTTTCTGTTTGCATCACTTGCTACCAAGTACTCTCCATCAGGTGAAAATGAACAATCTGTAATTGGTCCCAAGTGATCACACTCAGTGACAAATTCCAAAGAGTAAGTAGATTCATTAATCTTGTATATGTGAACCTAGGATTACTTATCAGTTAGACCATGACGACCATTGAGTGTAGTGTATGTGTTTTAAGTTGTTATGTACACTTACTTTATTATCCAATGCTCCCCCAACTGCAACATAACCAGCGCCTGGACTAACAGCTACAGCAGAAGGCTCATAGTCCACAGGCAAATTAAATACTTTTTTTTCGTTTTTTAATACTATTATCTAACATATAAAAGTTAATATTAGAAATACTATTATTATGTTCATTAAATATTTTTTGTATAACCTCTTTAATTGTAACCGTGACAATCACATTACTGTTAAAGTCCATTCCTCTTGGTTGAGCATTTAATTTGATTTGCAAGTCTGTGTAAGAATTGGATTTAATGTCAACTTGCCTAAAACTGTCATCTATCCCACATGTGTACAAATAATCATTATCCAGTTTCATTCCATTGATTTGATTTCCATGACCAACACCTTTTACTCTGTCATTTTCACCTAGTTGTAATTAACAATAATTAATAATAATTATATTTTTTTTAGCTGGAGGAAATAATAAAATATAAAATTTTAAAAATTATTTTATGTTCAAAATTTGAAAATTACCATTTACAGCATTCCAGTTTGTAATATTGCCATCATGGGAACCAGTATAAATAGTACTACGGTCTGGACTTAATGCCAATACAGTAATTGGTTTATTATGACCCTGAATAATTATGAAAAGTGTAATTTAGTTCTCTTAAATTAATGATCAATGATATAATCTAATGATGTATAACTATTAAAGTTTTAACATGTTAATTTAATTTTTACTTTACTCTATTAAATTTAAAATATTTCCATTATAATGTATAAAACTATCTTAGTATGATATTATACGAACACAAATTATATTCAATAAATAAATCATAGTTTTTGAAGATAAGTTATAATTTGAATTAATAAAAAATACTTCCGCTTCCAATGAATTCAACTTTCTAAATTTTTTATGGAAATTTACTATCTTTAAAAATTAAAAATGGTTATTTGAATTACCTTAATGATTCGTATGGGTTTTTCAGGATTGTTGACATCTAGATATGTAATGAAACCATTAAGAGAGACGGTTAATAAATAATTTCCTTGCCACAAACAAGAAACCTATTGAAATATACAAAAAGTTAATACCTTTATAAATAATAAATTATCTGATAAAAAAATATTAAACCTGTTGATCTTCTACTTGGTTTCCTATGACGAATTCACTAACAACAGATTTTGTTTCAACATCCCACAACTTGCAAGTCTTATCACCAGAGGATGTTAATAGACGTGTACTGTCTGCACTCCAAGCAACCTATTATTTTTCAATATAACGTAAAAAAATTACAGTTAAATATATATTAGTAGATGTTTTCTTACTCCATAAACTCCTCCTTTGTGTGCAGGACTACCAATTTCAGATACAAGATCAGCATTAGTACCTTCATACAAGAACACTTTACCATCAAAACCTGCTGATGCAAAAAAGTTACCATTGGGCGAGAAGCGTACGGCCTGAACAAATCTTGAGTGTTCCTGTAATGCACAAAATTAAAGAGTTAGGTACCAAGTTGTAGTTAAGTATAGATAAAATTTACCTGTTTGGTCATTTTAAACTTGAATGGTGGACCTTCAAAAACACCAATTGTGTTGTCTTCACTACCAGTCACTATTCTAAATGGACGGGTAGGCCGAAAATCACATGAATTAATTGGTTTGGATTGACCTGTTATTTCACCAACTGAAGTACCAGTTTCTGACATAAATACATGGCCAAATCTATAAAAATAAAATATAATATATTTGAATAAATATAATAACTAATAAATAACATAAAAAGTTAAATGATCTTATGTACCTCTCTCGGCCTTCACCGACAACCACCATCCGTTGATTGTCCGGAGACCAAGAAATATCTTTAATTGGCCCACCAAATGGATGGAATTCATTTTTTAGTATGTGTTCTTTATTCACAGTATCCCAAATTCTTACTTTTCCTGATTGATCTGTAATTATAACTTTAATCAATCAAATACTTAATTTAAATATTTTATATGATCTCATACCACCAGATGCAATGTAAAATCCACTTGGGGAATACTTAGCGACATTTACAGCACAGGAGTGTTCGGTGTATACATCTGATATCGCAGGGTTCTTGACAATAAGTGAAACAAACGAAACACAAATTAAATAATTGTTTATTGACAATAAACAAAATACAAAGGCTCACCTCAATATCACGTATAATGACACTATTACCATTTGTGTAGAGAAAGTTTTTTCCCTTAGGATCGCTACCCAAAACAATCGGTTGCCCTCTTTGAGTACGTGGTAGTGTTGAGTATATGTACTCTATAATCAAACGGTAAAATTACACTTTGGTCAATTATCAGATGATTTGTGTAGATGACTCACTGTTAGAATAGGACATTGTGTATGATACTGTAGTAGGTAAAAATGAAGCACTAATAATTAATAAATTACTAAATGATGAGTAAACACCGAATCCTGGTGTAACAAACCTATTACGAGAGAAATAATAATAATAATAATAAAACTATAATAATAACGAGACGACGGGGCTGTTAGTTGTTCGTAAGGTATTTTAGTGTGTAAAATACTAAAATGTAAATGTGTAACTATTTTATTCTCGCACAGACTAACGAAACCTGATATGTCTAAGCTCTGAATTCTCAACTCATGATAAGCATATTATTATTATTATTATAAAGATAACTGTAGCGAGTCGACCAGGATTACCATATAAGGAATAGCAAATAATTTATTTCGTATAATTTTAAAATGATGATAAATTATTATTGTTTGTCACGGTGCACTTATTGTGCATTTGTGCACATAATGCAACGACCGCAAAGGACATTTTATGGTGTCTGCCGCCGAGTAGAGAAAGTCGCTGAAGCTTACTTATTATTGATTTCTTATCTGTATCTCGCGATGTTTCAACGGCACAACGACGAATGCACACAGACTCACACACAAGACACAAGTTAACCAATGTGGTTACTTGGTAGCGGTGAATGGTGAACGACAGGCGGACCGGTATACGTATACCGCATGGCCGTTACGTCCCTTAATAGTTAATATGCTGGCGGTAATATAACATTAATTCAATTAATTGGTTTGGTAGTTGGGATCCGAGTGTTCCGAGTTCCGACTGTATGAATTACGGATATTGTAATAATAAAATTAATATCGGCCTCATCAATTAATAATGGTTCCTAATTTCCAAGTCCCAATAATTGACGAATACAAATTGGCAAAAAGTAGTACAGATAATTAATAATCACTGAAAATTCGCTACTAAATTCAAAATGTAGGATGATTCACCAAACACACGCTTACCTACTTTTTTTCTTCAATAACGAGGTTATTCATAAGCTGATTTTTGGAATCTTTAAATATTATATTATATTATGGGAACGAGGCCTAAAGGTGTAATTACATTTTACATAAAACGAAAGAATATAAAAAATTATAACAGAAAGTAATTAAAATTAATAGTCTATATACAACTAAAAGAATACAACATTTCGAAGACATAATAATAATTAACAAAACACATAATATAATTTAATGATAGATTAAATAAAGTAGGAAGCTCATTCACCAAACGCATTGATAAATTGGATCATTCTTACCATAGTATTTAATCTATTCTGTGGTATGATGAAAAGGAATTACAAARAGATACCGTGACCTATAGAGAAACGAGGAGGAACTCTATAGTTAACTTGAGATATTAAATATAACTACTCAAAGGCCGTATTTTCAAATTCTTGAGATTTTATGTACGACCTAAGGTCTTCTGTGACGGTACAAACCTTTATTTTTCAAATGAGAATTTCCCTTTTTATTATAAATTATTGAAGGGATATTTTTTTTAAGAATTTAGATGTATTAAAAATTAAAATCAATATTCTAATAAGTAGTTTTTGAGTTATTTAACTTTCCATACTTTCATATTATATTGGAGTGTTTAATAATAATAATTTGATATCATTAAATTTTTGTTGATAATTAATTAAAATATTTTTAAAAATTGAATGGTGGAGGGAATATAACGTGCTATGTTATGTTGCAATTCGTTAATTGTTTAAGAACTATTAAAAGCGAAAAATGTTATAATACTACTACATAATGGCCATTTTAAGTTTATACACTATTTTACGATTCTTAATATAAATCGAGATTGCTTCATAGCACGTTATATAGAAAATTGAAAAAATGTTACTAGCACGTTATTCCTGCCCACACTTCAATAGTCTTTTTTTCCTTGGTATTTTTTACCGGTTACCAAATACACAATAATGATTGTTGTCTATTAATTATTTTTGTGGAACCACGGTCTATTGTATCTATATGCTACGTGCTACGGTTGAATAAGTACGCTAATGATTAAATAATTCAATTTTATTCAAAAAAGTATTTAATGGAAATCGTAAAGTGGGTACTATTTTTAAATTCGATACTCCTGAATTCTTAAGATATTATTTACGAGTTAGACACCAAATCCTCATTATTTAGTTATCTCAGGCCTGTCTTATAATCTCCCAATCGCGTAATGACATATTTACGTTAAATTTACTCTTTGTCAAATTATTAGTTACAAAATTGTCCATGTTTCATAGTTTCATTGTAAGTTTATTTTCGATATTTAAATTTTCTTGAGAGTAAAATGATATAGTATTATAAATAAAAAACAATATTACATATTAATAACAGTCATGTAACATTTTTGATAGAAAATGTAAGTCCGTGTAACAAATCAGTAAGGCATTCCCTTAATAAAAGGAGAAATAACTTATAGTAGTAAATCAGATATTTTATTTGATAGAATAAATTGCTAAACGTTACAAACATATTGCTTATTTAAAAACTATCTAACATTATAAGTACTATTATTGGATCATTTAGTTGAATATAGTATAGCGATGATTAAACCTTGATATTATACAGTTCAAAAGATTTAGATATATTGGACTCATAAATGGGAACAATATTAAATAATCAGATCTTAAATACTTTAAAATAGGTATAGGTGTATAGCGAAAATTGATTATTTCTCCTAAGCTATAATATGTTTAACTTAATTTTTTTTTTTATTATATTTAACTATGAATTTTATATTCATTGGAAGCACTTGATACTTGTAAATAAGTTTTCATATTTTATTTTTTATGAATAAATTAAATAGGATAAGCAAAAAGGTATATAATTAAATTTAAATTGCTGGAAAAAAATAAGATACAACTCGGACAATAGTCATGTAAACTAATTCATGTTGTTAAAAACAAAATAAGACTAAAATATTGATAAAATTAAGATTATCATAAGGTGCAGGATTTAAAAAATAAAAATAAGGGATACATATTGAAATTTTAGTTCTTATTTTGACTTATCGGGAAAAACAACAATTTTTTCTCAATATCTATCATATTAGAAGAATGTAACGAAACCACATTTTGAACTTTTCAACTTTCGAGTAAAATCAAAATTATTCAAAAGTTCTAAAACACCAAATTTCAGAATGTCACAGTTTTCTTAAGTGGTTATATGCACACTATTGATTTAAAAAAAATTATTTTCATAATAAACAGATAAACCTAATGAGAATATTTTTAGATACTATCCGTAAATGAGATTGTTATTTTAAAGTCCTTTATTAGAGTACACGACAATTGGTGGATTCTTGCAGTTGCTCACTATGTCACAATATGCAGTATTCTCGTATTTCTCCAATGTGCTTAATTTAATGGAGCTGAAATAAGACATAATAGTTGACTATAAAGAACATAAATTAATTTTAATTATATACCTGAACTGAGGAAACAAGGCACACGCAGTTGGGACCATACCAATAAGACTGAAAATAAAAAATCAATATTTTTGTAAATAGCATATTCCAAAACATATAATTATTACAAAATTTTGATAAGTTTATGTAAAAATATAATACTTACAAACAACCAACAGCAAGAGTTTGGAATGGAGCATGGATCCATGTATTTCGCTTGAACCATGTACTTTTGTTTTCAAGTTTTTCCATTATGACAGGCAACAATACTAAAAATAATGATAATAATACATACATATAATTTAGTTAAATACATTTTTTAAATCATAATTATTTCTTGAATTACCCATTCCAGGTGCACACATAACAATCCTTGACACTATTACTTGAGATATTCCTTTAGCTGCAGCTAACTAAAATCAACATACATTTAAAAATTGTATTTTGATAATATATAGTATAAATATTATTTTAGAGTCCAATGTATTACTTTAGAACATCCAACTCTATTTTTATCAGCATCATAAACATCTACACCGTTTAATAATTCAGTCTGGCGCATTAATGGTATGTTCACACAATTAGCTGCTGCAACAGCGGCAAACGGAACATATCTCTAAAATATTGATTAAATTAGGAACATTGCTATGACTTGACAACTCATTGATAGTCTTACTTGAAAAAAAGGTGAGGCATTGTTTGTCAGGTATTGTTTGAATTTTATGGATGTCACACAAGCAGCTATTGTTGCTGAACCGTAAGCTGTGCCCATTTGAGTTTGACTCAAGGGAGAGTTAGCATTTCGATTGGTATAGTTAACTAAAGCATTGAATGACTGATTAATCCATTGCCAAAACACGACAGCTGGAACAGTCCTAGTAAAGTAACAATGTGAAATAAATATTAACTATCTGCAAATTACATAATTTTAATAATAATATACTTATAAAAAGATAACATTGCTCCAGTAATAGCCATACCCCCAGGAACCTGAAAGCACATTCGACCAAATACATTTTGTTTTTGTCCAGTATCTGGGTGAAATGAACTTTCATAGATCTGTTTAGCAGTTAACAATTGTTCAGTAGTTGTTCCAGGTGGATGTGTACCATTTCTGTAAAAATGTAATTTTCAAATTTAATCAAGTCTATAAATATTTCATAATTCATAGATTATACTTTACTAAGTATTATAGTATTATGTTTTACTACTTACAGATAAGATGAACGTAAGGACTTGGCTTCTTCAAGCTCTTGATCGGTTTTTAAACATAGCATAGGGTTTGTCACCCAAAAGTAATAATGCCATCTTCCGACATAAGTACTCTGATCCCAAGGACATTTTTCCATTTCAAATGAAGTGTTCATTGTATAATGTATATGTTTTATAAATTCAATATTACTATAAAAAGCAAAAAAAAAAACACTGATATTATTCATTTTATTTTTGAAAGGGACAGAACTAACTCATCTTTTTAGTTATTAAATTATTACCAAAGTGCAACTAAATTATTCTTAAAAAAACCAAAAGGAAAATCAGAGTGTCAGAATATCAGTCAACAACTTACTTTTAACTGTTGTTTAAAAGTGTTTAAAATAAAACTGTGTAGGTTGATATGACGTATATTACAAATAGGTACAACGCCTTAACTATAATTAACGACGACTGTGTTTCAGATTCTGACTATCAATTTATCAAAACAATTATAACTGTTACCTATTGAATTAATTATAATTAATAACTACGAGTTCAAAACATAGTAAACGTAATGTTTCGATAAAAACAAATTCATAGAATTATTCGAATTAACATGGCGGGATGTAAATATTATGTAATTTAAAAGTTTGGACTAATTATAGGCAATGAGTAACCCGGGATTCGACCAATCGGAAACCCAAGTGGCTAAATCAATGACCTAAATGATAAAATAATCATTAGACTAACTGACCAAGAAACGCGTTTATACTTCATAGCCTTTAGTTTTTTCATGTGTAACTGGGTACTAGGTGAGTAAGTGGCACCGTGACAACTACAGGCTGCAGTCGTCGCTCGCTGTATATTATTATTATTATTATTATTACCTTCCAAAAATATTATTTATGCCCTTCAATTCCCCTGTATACTGTTTTCTGAATAGCAGGTCCCTTTGGTATTTATAACTATTTTCTTTTTAGTGTATTGCTCACAAGTAGACTCGTGAGTCGTGAGACGTGTACGTGACGGCGAATGGCAATAGTTAGACAAGTTGTACTGTAGTATCGTACATTCGTACGGCCGGCCGTTCGTCTATAATTTAGTTTAATCTATATCATTAAATAGTTAGTAAGTCAAGACGGTGTCAAGTAAATTTGTAAATCAATTTAGACGTCATAAACGACAAACAAGTGTGATTGTATTCCGGTACTTATCTCACTCTATGGTWCATACTTGGTAGTTGGTAGCCAGGTAGCCGATAATAAAAAATATTGATACAATCACCGAGAATCGAGATAGATAATATATATACTATATAGTTATTTTGAAGTGAGATATTATGAGTATTTTAAAATTGTAGATAGTTTTTAAATCTTAGAATACTCATGTTCTCTTTAAAATTAAAACATGTTAAAAAGCCTATGAGATTGTCTGAATAATCCTACCTTTAAATTCTATTAGAGGTCCATTCACTCTAAATTGTTAACTAATAGAGTTACACGTGTTCTGCTGAGTGTAAAAATTGCCATGTTACACRCTTGTAAGAAGGAAACAACACATAAGAGGACTCCTCTTAAATAATATGTATAGTATTAGTGTATTACCTAATTAGGTCATAACCGTTATTAAAATATCAACAGTAAAATATTCCTAGGGAGGTAGGTATCCACATATAGCGCCTCCAGCTATTTCATCACTGCGCCAAATCTAAATACCCCTCCCCATTTAAAGAATTTTAAAGTTGGTAGGTATAATAGTGCCTACTATAAATTCTGGTTCTCGGTAATCAACTGACATAATATATTATCTCATATACTTTAACTTTACTCTTAAGTCTTATAGTTACTAACTTACTACATATTACTTACTAATAATACTTAGTATGTAGCCATCATGTAGGTTGTAGCTAGAAGTCACATTACGATCACTTGGGTTTTAAAAGAAATGCATGTACGAAAAAATGTTACTTTAATTAGTTGTTATTAACTTCAGTAGCTCAAAAGATAGTGGAGTCCTCAACTTCTACTGTAGGTACTGGGCTAAGGCTAATGCAGAACTGCGTGGCAACTCAAAGTTACACACGTACACCTATTTTTTTATGCAGTTATATCAATAATTTATTATATTAAAAATAATTATAATACGATGACATTATTAGATAAATATTTGATACTGAATATAAACCTACTATAAAACTATACATATAAGAACATTTTATAATTTATAGGCAATTTAAGTAATTATGTAATTTAAATGCCTGATTTGTATTTTTAATGAATCTTGATTAGCAAGCTACATTAAAAAAAGTAAAACGTTAACTTATTATTGCATTATTTATTATTTTATAAGGTATAATAAAATTGGTAAAATATTTTTAGACTGGTAAATGCGTTCAATGTCCAAACGCACTGTTCTTTATTTTTCACAAATTTTAAAAGATTGACAACAGATCATCATTGTTGTAAAAAAGAGATTAATCGTCATCGTCGTATGATATTATACATATTATCTATTCCGACATTTTTATAAAACACATGCTTAAATTCTTAAGATATTATATTGGTAATGCATTTAATAATGTATGAAAAATATGTATTTAGTTTTATACTATTCAATAATATTATATTTATCGATGATTATATAATTTATGTTGTAGTGCAAAGATACACAATTGTTTGGACCTTTATTATTTATCTTTAATAGCCAATATCATTGGCGTAGTCAGGGGGTGTGTAGGGTATGTGGCAACCCCTCTAAACGCACAAACAATTTAGTGTGGAGTTCAAACGTCGAATGATATTGTGATTTGGCATTGTATATCATTATTATTGTGATGTAATATTATGAATATAATGAAGTATAGTATAAATTTTTTTGAAGGTGCCAATACCCCCCGAACGTGAAAAGGTGGCTCCGCATAAGGCCAATCGCCAATATATATGTGTTCATGTCTTCATAGTAGGCACGAAGGTAAATATTTTATAAGATTATACATATTATTTTATGATCTACTATTTTAATAAGTTAATATTATGGTATCCGTTAAATCGTGATAATGATTTACTCCAAGATATATATTCGTATCGGCTATCACATGTGTCATTTAGTCCCGAAAGTGTCATACAACATACAAAAACTCATAGAACAATTGAGTTGAGGTGTTGAGGAGTCTATATCTACAGGTTGCTTAAAATCTTTGGAGAGCCAATAAGAATTCACTATTCCCCAATATTTTGAACATTTTAACTAATGTATATACTTGAAATAAAACAAACGTTTTGCATTATTCATACTGAGCGAGTTGAACATAGTCTAAAATATTTAAAAAAATAAAAATTATATCACGACCAGAGAAGGGGGTGATCCAACAGTCCCCCCTTATAACCGCCAATGTCTTCTTTACTATCTCTCGACTCTCATCGGACTATCCGACTTGTGCGTTTAATGTTGATGTTGAATCATTTGATTTGAATTCCCACGCGATCGAAATATATAATTTGGTAACCAAATGTTGAAATAAGGTTATCCGAGTGCGGTACGTATTGAAACTCTTAAAAATTTCGTGAACACACGCATAAACATTGCATAAAAAGCAGCAGCAAAATCATTGCATAAAAAGCAGCAGCAAAATCATATTGCCCACCGTTTTGAATTCATTCTAATCCTTTCTAATCCGTACGGGGTATCGACTCATCAGCGACTTAACCATGACAAATATAAATAAACGATTCATATAATGTGCACATACTAGGTAGATCATAGTTTAAATTATAAAATATTATTATTGAATATTTTAATGAGACAATAGAAAATGTTACTGATAACCTCGGGATACGAATTATTTGTTCGTCTGAGAGATATTCAATGCGACACTGGGATATTTAGGACCTCGACATCGCTCAAAAGTTAAATCGCGTTATTACATTATTACCTATAAGTCAATAATCAATAATCAACGAGTAATCGCGAAAACAGTGCGACTGTACGAATCGACAATAGCCATTACCGGTAACCACGTTTCAAACGGTAAAACGTAAAACATCGCTAACCATGGGTTCAATATTTAAGCCAAGACGCCAAGTGTTTAGGTATGGTCAACTTACTCAATGTCTAATGTCTATATCGTCATTAAATATTTAAATTTAACTACTTAAGTATTCTTAATTCCTAGAGCGCGTCGACGCAGTCTATCCACACCGAGCGTGCGGAATACGGACGAATGGACGATTCGAAAGCGTGCAACAACTTACATCACTGCCTCGACGCCCTTAAAAACGCAAAAMAGTAAACACGTTTTGAGACGTCACAGCCTTTGTAGAATGTAGATTGTAGATCAACTTTTCTATAATAATACAGATCATTGTCAATGATTTAGAAAAGTAATAAAAAATGATAATTGATGACAAATGACAAATGTGAATAGTCGATGCCGAGTGTTTCACAATTTTGAGCGCAACAACCACAACAGAATAACGAATTTACCCTTAACCCTGTCACGGGCGGGGGATGCGGTAAAAATGAAAATAAAAACAGTAAAAACCACCAATAGGCAATACTAAATTTTTCTGCGTGATAACGTGATACCGCAGCGGTATACTAATTTATTATCAGCCATGTCGCCATGATGTCGTCCCTGCTATCAGGCGGAAACCGGAGGTGCCGCCAAAATGTTTAGGTGAAAATATTTCTAAACTATARCCTATAGGTGAATTTTTTGGCAGTACCGAATTATTGGCCTCAAAACTCGGTGAGACGGTGACCGTACTACGACAAACGACTATTAAATCGGAGGTCGAGGCTAGGTCCGAGATTCCAAGCCATTGAGAATTATTCTTTGTACCAAGCTCATAACAATAATAACGTATACGGCGGCGGCACTGACTTGATGTTGGCATCGGTCTTGGCGCGCGCGTATAATCACGGTGGCGATTATTGTTGTATTTTTTTACCGTTTATATACACTTTACACTCAACACTGGGCCCGCACTTATACATCCCGCCACCGTCGTTGCTACCGGACGGACGCGGTTATGTTTTGTTGTTTTGTTCGTACGATCTTTCGCGTTGATTTTCTCTCGCCGTAGTCGTCGCACATACTACATTTTACGTTTTGCGGGCCTCCATCACTCGATCGAAACACGCTCGTTGCACCTATTCTTATATTAGTGGCGTTAGAACTATCCGGAGATCGGTTATCTTGACCGTCATCGTCAATACAACCCTTGCGAGTAGGTAGAAATCAGTAGACGCCAATACCAAACGAGACGTCGCGGACCGGGACGACGGACCACCGAGGTACCGAGCAGCAGCTGGCCTTCCGGTCGTCGCGCGGGACCACTACCGCCGCCACCGCCGCATCTACATCAGCGGCAGTTGCATCCGAAGCCAAAGCGACAAACGACGGTTGCGTTCACCGCCGACCGCGATTATTATATTACCGCCGCCGTCATGCCACTGCTCCACAGAAAACCGTTTTCCAAGAACCCTGTGCCCAGGGGTCTGAGGGACACGGATGAGGTGTTCTACTGTGAGCTGACCAAAGAGATTTTCCTCAGTTACGAGTGAGTTGAGTTGGTCTATCAAGTCTTATACTTTTCCCGTTGATTGTGTGCTATTGCACCACCGTGTCATTATGCGCGTTTCACATGGCGCCCAGCGCTCGATCGATTCTCGCGCGGCGCCCACGTTTGGCGACCGACGAGTCCGGTCCGCCCGCGTCCGATTTTTCGGTCTGTTTCCGTTCGATCCGTGGTTTACGTTTCGTCTCAAAGTTAAAACTCTAACCTGCGTCC